TGTCTTGTACTTGAGAAGTGGTCATTGTTAATACTATTATTTCAACAAGGTACCATGTCCTTTTCTTTCTAAGGAAGGTCAGTGTGGCAAAGACTAAGGTCTTCTGTGTAGACAGAAGTAAGTAATTTAAACCAGGGCGAGGCCAGACACATGCACATACAAGCACTGGGTGAAGAGAATCCATGAGAACCACTTTCGGCCTCTTTGTTAGTGGTGGGTTCTCAGCTTCCTCTGGAATTGGATTCTGTCCCTTTAAGTCTCTATTACCTGTTTAACAAATGTGCCTAAATCTACCTGCCTTAGTAACAGCTTCTCTCTAGATGGACAAGGATAGCCTCTGGGAAATTTTATCATCTGGATACCACCAGGTCTGTAGAGCTATTAAGGGTGACCTTTCTAGATGGGGGTGATAGGGCCTTCAGAGGGTCACACACTTGGACCAGCCGCCTACTTCAGTGCTCCTGCTCCCTGCTGACTGGTCTCCCTGGCTTTCTTCCCTTGAGCCCTTCTTACTCCAAGTTTATTACCAACTTTCCACCTCAGGCATATGAGCTTCTGAGGGAGGCTGGCAAAATACATTAATGACCTGAAAACCAAGCATGGAAATGCAGGCTACTCTTCTAAGAACACAGAACATCAGTTCTCAGTCCTGTCCGCATACTGGAATCTTGTGGGGCTTTAAAAACCAACCAAAAACCTCCTGATACCTAGTCCTCCCCTTCTACTCCTATCTGCCAGGTTCTGGAATTTATTAAAGCTTCCCAGTGATTCTGATGCACCGCCTGCATGGAGAAGCACTAACAAGAAAATCAATTCCTTGCACCTTCACACTCATTAAACATCTAAACTATAGAAGGGGATGAGGGATGCAACTGCTTTCCACAAAAGAAAATTCTAGAAAGACAATTGCCTCCTCTGAAACTGAAAGGCAACCTCTCCAGACTTTCTGTTGAAAGAGACATATCACCCATCACAAATGCAACGGGAAATTAGAAGAAAGAAGTGATAGAACAAAAGGATGCTATGGTTGAAGTGAAAAAGGTAAAGGAACTCTTATTAAATTACTATTTATTTAGCTGAATAATATCATTGTCCAGTGGCAAAACTGCAAGTCCACCACCCATTTTTAAGGGCAAATTGGAATTTATGTTTTCCTCCAGATAATTTCCCCCCTGGCAGAAAAGCTGCTCCGGTTGGCCGGGGGACTGGGCGTTGGTGAGTGTAGGTAAAGAGGTGTGAATGAGCCTGCTGCCTGCAGAAATAACACTTCCAGATGTGTCAAGGTGTTCACTGCTCTGGCTTCAGCTCCTCCCTGAGCTCCCCGGTTCCTTGGATGGCAAACTCAAGAATGCAGCCTGCTTGCAGCAAAGGACCTAATCCCCAGGGCGGCTTCTCAACAGAAGCAAGAAACTCAAGCACAAGGATAACTAACGCCAGCCAGGAGGATCCAGAACCACAGCAGCACGGACACTGCTGGTGGAGAGCTGGGGAATGGTGAATTAGTAAATTTCCCCACAAGCGCTATTTTTTTCAGTCCCTCTATATTTTCTGTCAAACCCTTGAAAGTCTAAAGGAACTTATGGGGGGCTTGTTTTGGTTTTTTTCATTCAAGTTAGAACCAGTGAGAAGAACAAGTGATGAAGACAGCTACTCCTAACGGAGACTTAATTTGGAATAAAGATCTAGCCTAGTGAGAGTATTTGGTCCCATACTTCACACAAAATTCTTTGAGTTGTTTTTTCTAATGAACTTGACATATTAATCCTTCATTTCAAAAAGCCTTTCTTACATGCCCAAGTCCTTACTGAAATACACTGTCCCACACAATGAAAATCAAGTTATTATTAAGCTATGGATTGTAAAACAAAGGCCACTCACATTTTATTGAGATGATGATTTTTTTTTTTTAAGAAATTACATTCTACTGAGGTGAAAGAAAATATATTACTTAACATTTAAGGATTCCGAGAACCTCAGTAATAATACTTGATGATTGGAGTTGAAAAAAGAAGCACATCATTTTAATAAACCGGGTTTCTTCATAGACATTAGGACCAAAATGATGGAGACTGGATTCTCATCATTGGTGAATGTGAAGCTATCACACCGACAAGCTTTCAGACTTCCTGTGAGGGAAGGAAAACTGTCCCTAACATTTGCTACCTACGTTCTAGGTCAAATTTCTCTTAATACTTGGGTAGCTGAAGTTCATGAATAAAAATACATTTGTCTTCTAAAGCCAGAGTTCAAGGTTCCACAAGTAATTAATTCAGTAGTCTGGCTTTTCAAAATGTGGTCCAAAAGTCCTAAAGTGATTTAGTTATAATTTGGCTGATCTTGGTTATTGTGAAAAGTGACAATAATGCTGAGATCATAACACAGGTGCAGCCTAGTAAGCAATAAATAATTCTTTATTTATAAGGAGCTTCTACCTCAACTTTTTAACTCAAAAGGAATACACCCATAGTGAAGGGCTAAATACCTTTCCAGGGCAGCCAGTATTAGAAATGTTTTCCTCATGTTGAACCAAGAGCCGAAATTTTCTTTTTTGCAAGTGCCACCCAGTGGTTCCAGCCTGCCCTTGCATTGCAATACAAAACAAAATTATATTCCCTCTTCTCAATAACTGTTATCTAAGGGTTAACTCAGCTCTCAAAGCTCTCCTTGGCCATCGCTTCCCCAAAGCCTTCAACCATTCCCTGAACTGCTAGAGTCCTCAACCCCTTTCCAACCTGATCCCGCCCTTCTGAATGTGCTCATTTGTCAGTATCCCTTTTTCCATGTTTCTAACTGGGAAAAAAAAAAAGAGTATTCACACAAATGGCTACAGCAATTAAGACTTTAAACTATCCTTTTGTTGCATAAGTTAACACAATGTCCTGGACAAACATTTGATTTAGAATCAAAATTTGATTTAGAGATTCAAATACAGAACAAAAAATCTCTTTCTCTCTCTAAGTCTCCATCCGTTGTTGAAATCCAGCAGGCCCCTAATGGTGCCATCCTAAATTTCAGCCTGTGATTTCATTCCAATGCCTGGGTCTTCCAGGCGCATCATCAGAACTTAGAGAAGCTCACTGGGGAGACATTCATTCACAGGTAGAAAAGCAAGGCATGGACAGTGATCTTTATATGCTTCCTTATTTTCATATGTAGATACTCCCCCACTCTCTTCAAATTGGTAGATCCATATATTCCAGAAGTAAATTAGAAAACAAGAATCCTAAACTTCTTCGAAATGTTTTTTTTTTTATTAAAGTATCTCTGATTTTGGTGCCAGTTGTAAACATTACAGATAATAATTGAATCAGAAGCTAACCAGTCTAAGGTTTTGGTCCCTGGTTCTCTAACAACAGATAGGAAAACAATACAGACCACCACCCTGTGGTAAGGTGGGGGAAGTGCAGTGTTCCACATTCAAGGAGCCGCAGGCAGGAAGAAGACTAGCCCTGCCCTAGACTTCATGCGTATGAAATTCGGAAACAGAAAAGATACGCTCTGGCAGCCATGGCTCCCCGAGATGCTAACTGTGACAACATGATGCTTTTCCTAAGGAAACACACGCCTGACACCAGCCTAATGTCGACACTGGGCAGGATCTACCCGTCACTGTCGCTAGCAGTGCTCCTGATCAGGTGTGCAAAGGGACCACGAAGGTGCGCGCACGGGTCCCTCACCTGAACCTCTGCTGCCCTTCCTTTCATTCTACTGCTCCCCAAGGCTTGCACAGGAACCAATATAATACTCATAGGATTCCACACCATATGGCTGGATTCCTTGTTTGGGAAGCAGATTTTATCTAATGTATATGTTTATCCTACACACAAGAAAAAAAAAGTGCCCCTTCCCATCACCATAATTCCCTGACTTTAACTCCACTCTGCTAATGTCTCCAACGTTTTATAATAATAAAATTATCTTGTGATCAAAGAGATGCATTTTTAAACTTCTATTTGTGTGATGTGTGCAAATTATTTATTAGAAGTAGATATGCTTTTAATTTTAGTAATTCATTAATAAAAGATATAACTTTTCATAGTGCTTTATATAAGAAAATTGCTTGGGGTTTTTTTTTTCCTTCAGTTTTTTCCACTGCCAACAAAATATTTAATTAAATTGAAACCTTTTTCTTTCTTTGAGAGTTAGAGAATTAGATCCTAGGGAATTCTTATAACCCTGTTAGAACTAACTCTTCTTTTCTCTGCCCAATTTCTTTATTGAGCAAGAAAAATATTACAGTATGTTATTAGCTTTATAGCAACATAAACTTTCTTCTATCGAGCAATCACCACAAGAAAGAGAGAGATTATATTAACACAGGTTAAAATGATTTTTTCCTCTTAGAGAAATATAAATATTCAACTTACCTGTTTTTTATTTAGAAAATAGAATAGTAAACTATGCACAGCTTACACAGTAAATCTACAACTTGGTTTCATATTACATACAGTTAAAGAAAGAAAGGATGGTAGAAAGTGAAAAGATGAAGAAAAATAGGAGTAGGAGAATAGGAGAGAAGAAGGCAGAAGAGAGAGAGCAACAGACAGGAAAAGGGAATGAACTCTTTCCCTTTCCCTTAGAAAGAGACACACCCAGAAATGAAGAAAGGATGCAGAGTAGCTTGGGGAGAGGCGGGCAGTGGGGAGTGCAGAGACCGGAGCTGAGTTCAACTTTCCTCGTCAAACCTCCCTTCTGCTCCTGAGCTGTAGGCACCTATGTAGGGCAGAGGGCGTCGCTCTCCTCTGAAAGTGGGTGAGCTATGCAATGCACCTCACAGCTTTCTGAATTGTAACTTTTTGATCTGGAGAAGGCCTTCCTTTAGGGGAACAGTCACCACGGGGGACACATGAGAAAATTACCCTCTGGGCCCAGACGGCAGCAATCTGAGCAAGTTCACTGTGAGCAGAAAACAGAGCTGAGACTCAGATCCGGCTCTAGGGCTGAAACGTCCCCACCACAGGAAACAACCCGGGGCCCGTGAACCTTTGACAAGGGCTTACCTCCTCGACCATCTGCTTGACTTTTTTCTGCTGGCAATGCACCATGTCATCTAGGTGTCTGATCCGTTCCCGGAGGCTGGCGGACGCCTCCTCCAGCTGCTGATACCTAACACACATAGAAGAGAGAGCAGCTGAGTCCTGTACCAAAGCAGCAGCACCAGCATAGGAAGTCACCACTTGAAAGGAATGTTGCTGAGAACAAGGAAGGGAACCCCAGGATGCACTCTTTAATTTTGTGTGTATCCTATGTGATTTACTGCCCATTGACCACCTCACCATAGAAGAAATACAGGACTCTTTTACAAGTTCCCACTTGTAAGATTTACCCTGTATAAGGTCAGTTACTATATGTCCCAGGCACTGAGAATTTGTTGGTACCACTTACAGGTAGGGGGGGGGGAGGCTCTGTTATAGTGAACACAGTAGTGGAACATCCAGGAAATTACCTTGATTAGGAGGACAGAGGCAAGGCATCTAGCAACACAACAAAATATCTGAAATCAGAGCTCCCAACAGAGTCCTGGGAAGTATGGAATTATCACTGTTCTATATATGATCATTATGGGAAAATGGGAAACATGTTGAAAGACCTTCCCTGAACCAAAATAGAATGAATCACATAATAAAACATTTCACACTTTGGTTTTAAAACAGCAAAAATTATTCTCTGACTTTGCTGGTTTCAAAGGTCCCAGCAGAGGGACTCCAGTTCTCAGGGCCTCTGGATGGGGGCACTGGGTCAAGGGTCAGGTGGTGAGCTCACCACTTCGCACCTCTGCCGGCCCCTCCTCAGCGCCACCTCACAGACTAGGGAAGACGCCTAGTCTGTGCAACTTTGCAAACTCTGAAGTTGCAAAAGAGGAAGGGAAACAGGTTTGTTTGTTTTTTTCCCCAGCAAATGCTATGTGGCCAGCAAAACACCCAACAGTTCCCTCATAATAATGCAGTGAGATGGGCACTGTTATAATCATCATAATCCCCTCCTCCTTTAAAAAACAAAAGAATTCCCATTTTTCAAGTAGGCAAAGAATCTCAGGGAGGTGAGGTAACTTCATCCCAACTTTGTTCTTCTTCACCAGAGGGCCATGCATGGCCTCTTAGCCTTTTAATTTCTAGAAGATACCAGACCATGAACTACTTCCGCAGCACTTTCCACGCAGGCTTTCTACGCTCAGAGACAAAGATTAACCAGGCAATGGTTAACTGAGCAATGTTTGGAAACAAAGAAAGACATTTTAAAATTAGTTTCCATGATGATGACATTAATCACAGTTTATGTTTTCTCATCAACAAGGTGCATCCTGTGGAGGTCAAGGTTACGGAGAACCTCGACAGACTGAACTTTTGCACTTGTGACAGTGTAAAATTAAAATGTGTTCCACTGCACTAACAAGGAGCCATGGGCTGTAGGATGTGGCTGTTAAGCTCCTTAAGAAGCCAGCTTCACACTGGAAGTGCTCAAGCACTGTTTTCTGCACGTGTAAGTCTGCAGGAAGAGGTGACCAGAGGAGTATAAAATGAAAGGACCAATTGAGCCCACTAAGACACAGCGTGCCCACCATAAAAGTCCATTACAAGATAAAGGGCATTGCATCTTACCTTTCATTGTCAGAATCAGTTATTTCCCCTGACATTTCTGTTTCATGCTCTAGGAGTTGTAGTTGCAGTTGATGGCGTTCCTAAAACAGACAGACACTATTTTCATCAATGGGTTAAACCAAGTTGGAGAGAGAATGTGTATCTCTGTTAATTCCAGCACTAGTGAGTTCAAATCCATATGAAACACCCCGTGGGTTTTATATACCCACTCACCAGAGTCCAAACAGTTCAAAAATGCCAAATTTGTCGGTGTGTTTATAGGCATATTTATGAATTAGAGCCAAACGTCTCGGATAAAGCCATTCAAAGTGCTCTTGTCAGCCTAGGCTCAGATGTCTTGTGAAGTTTATAGTTCTGTAACAGGGTGCAGCCAGGGCTGCACTGTAATGGGGTCCAGAACTAGGGGTGACCAAGAAAAATATAGTATATTCTCCCTCCCACCCCACAAGGCGGGCAACCATAGGGGATGGGAGACAAGGAGCAGGGCCATTGAGTCATTTTGCACATCAATAACACATCAGTAACAGCAGGATAGCATCACACCTCATATGCAAAGATGGTTGTTTTGCATAGCAACAAGGCTAACCAGGAAGGTTTGCATAACGTAAACCCAGGACGTAACTGGGAGGCAGCACCCCACCCTGCTCCCGCCCCCCACCCCGCCCCCGCCCCATTACTTCGCCTGCTGAGGGAGTTGGAAATGGGGCTATGGGAAAGATTTGCGCCAGGATTTAAACCTAGGTGCAGCAGCCATACTAGATGCTTTTGAGCACGCGGTTTTGGGAGTGCAGTGGCAGCAGGAGAGCAAGATGGAGCAGCCATGCAGAGCAGCTCCCCCAGTTACAATGCGTGTGCATGAGAGCTCGGAGAGGGTTCCCTCCCTGCCACGGGGGGCGGGGGGAGGGGCATGGTAACAACGTGAAGACCATGAGGGAAGGAAAGGGAGAAAGGGCTCTTGCTAGTGGGCCATGAAAGGTGCCATGTGGGTTTGGATTAAGAACTGGAGATTGTGACAACACAGCGGATGGTGCTGAGAACAGCGAGAGGCCTGCCCAGCCGAGCTCCAGACTTTTGTTCTTTTTCTTCTGGAAGACCGTACCCCTGACTGGCCTGACCGGGCAAAGGGGAGGGAAAGGCAGGACGGTGTGTGTTGGTGGGTGTTTTAAAGGGATTTTGAGATTTAACTGCAACATTTAGCCATTATTCAAAACCTGTATAACTTTTAAACAAATAGTTCCTTTCCTTTTCACCAAACTGCCAGTGAAAGCCATAGTTTCTAAGGGCAGCAGGCAAAGAACCTTGAACAGAGGGACCGCGGGGGAAGGGGAGGGCGTTGTTCCAGTAATGGTACCAGGCCCCCCAAATGGTCCACGTTCAGTAACAGTTCTAAATAATCATGACCAATACTTTACATCAGTGGCCTGTCATACTGCAAAATTCTTGATGATTTTCTCTTTAGTCAACGTAAGAGGCTCTGGAACTCAGGTAATAGCCTATACACTAATCTGGGAGTTATTCACATGGGTATGTTCACTTGTAAAAGTGTACTGTAGTAGCAAGAACAATGGCTCCCAACTATGTCCACATCCTAATCCCTGACACCTATGAATATGTTGCTTACATGGAAAAAGGAATTTTGCAGATGTGATTAAATTAGTGGAGAAATTACCCTGGATTATCCAATTGGGCCCTTATTGGAAGGAGGCTTAGGGTCATAGAGAAGCAGAGATTGGAATAATGCTACATGCTTGAAAGCTGGGGGATGGGCCATGAGTCAAGGAATTTAAGCAGTCTCAAGAAGTCAAGAGAGGCTGGGAAATGGTTCTCCTCTAGGGCTTCCAAAAGGAACTCAGTCCTGCCAACACATTCATTAGAACTTCTGACCTCCAGAATAAGAAGATGATAAATTCACATTGTTTTAAGCCACTAACTGCAGTTACAGCAGCAATGGGAAACTAATACATACATCAAGCTGTGCATTAAGATTTGTAAGCTTTGCTATTTATATGTAAATTTAGAAGTTTACTCAAAAAAGCAATATAGAATCTGGACAATTATTTCTTTAGAAAGAGTGGGAAATGCTAATAAAAGCCTGGTGTTTCACATAACTGAAATTATACTGGAAACACATTATCAATGTTGGTGTAATACATTCCCTTAAAATGAAGTTTACCAAATCTTGTTCACTAATTAGGAGGAGATTATTGTACTTTAGGCTCTCCTCTAAACACTGCACCTCATCTTTATTTTCAGAAATGCTCCCCTAACAAACTCTTACTCATTATATAGATTTTAAACCTCTTTTCTGCCCAATTATTACAAGCGTATCTTTGAAGAGTTAAGTCCCACACCTCCTGAAGCTGAAGGCTGTGGTATATACCAAGGAACAGAACCCAAGAGGCGGGAGCAGTGCGCCTTGGCAGGAAGAATGCGTCACCGTCAACATATTTAGAGTCATAAAGGAAGGCCAGCTTTGGGTGAGGTTTTGTTACTATTTCTCAGTCTGTAGAGTGAATGCACATTCTTACTGCCCAGCTTGGGCAGAATGTACCCCTTACCCCTGCGGGGTAGGTTATTGGCCAGAAGTTTACATTAGCCCTGAAATAATAGTGATGAACCCTTCACAAGTGAGCCCCTTACTCTGGCCCCCCCAAAAAGCTGTCATAAAGTAGGGCAAGGCCTAATTTATAGCATACTTTAAAAATTCTGTATTTTTCTAAATTGAGGTAAACCAAATCTTAAGTGTACACTGCCCAATAATTTCTTACACTTGCATATACTCAATTACCCAGTGAAGCCACCACCCAGATCAAGGTATAGAATAGTATCTATTCTGCAGAAGGGTCCCTGGGAGAACCCACTCCTTAAAAGATTGTTACTAACCAAAGAAAAATGTTCTGCATACAGTGCTCAAAAAGAGAAACCGAAAATTAAGGCATGTAGTAGGGAAGCCATTCAAAGGCATGTGGTTTGTCCTTGAGCAAAACCCAAAACTCGGTGCTTGCAGAATATGAACACTGCCATGGCTCATGCCTGTGGACATGTTGTTCACAAAGTGTGTGACACAGATCTGGCACAATTCCTGCTCTCAAAGATTTATCCCTGGAGGAGGAAGAGCAGTCAGTCAGTATCCTAATCTTAGCTACATAAAGCAAACATTTCTTTAGGCAACTGGAAAAGAAGATTTAGGGAAAGGACAATAAATTTTCAATCGCTAAAGAAAAAGCCATCAGGATTTAGGGAGCACTTTTTGTCACATAAATTCTGGTAGGGAGGGCCCGCCTCACCACCTGTCCCCACCCCTGGCCTATACCCATACACCCCTCACGGGGGCTCCGCGTGGAAATCAGGGAAAAGCGGGAAACTCTTCGAATTACAAGAGTACAAAGAGGATAAGCTATAAAACAGATCCAGCTTCAAAAAAGCTGACTCTGGGGCAGACACTTAAGCAAGTCTATGGCAAAATAAAAGTCAGAGCCGCCAATTTTTGAGCCCCTACTATGTATGTGCCAGACACTCTGCATGGATTTTTCTCATTACTCCTCACAAAAGCCAAAGAATAAGAATTATTATTATCACCATTTTACAGAAGAGGAGACTGAGTTTGGAAAAGACAAGTCACTGCCCACAACTAGAAAGAGGCAAGACTCAAACCCTCCGTCTGTCTGATTGTAAAACCCATGTTCTTTTTTTAAAAATCATTTTCTTATTTTTCAATTACAGTTGACATACAATATTATATTAGTTTCAGGTGATTAGACATATAATTTTCAAAGTGATCATCCTGATAAATCTTATTCCAAGTTGACACCATACATAGTTATAAGAATATTATTGACTATATTCCCTACGTTGTACTTTACATCCCCATGACTATTCTGCAACTACCAATTTGTACTTCTTCATCCCTTCACCTTTTTCCCCCATTCCCCCCACCCCCCATTACCATCTGGCAACCATCATTCTCTGTTTATCTATGAGTCTGTTTCAGGGTCTTCTTTAAGAAGAAGAAAAAATAGATAAAATTACGAATAAAATGGCAATAAATACCTATCTATCAACAATTGAATCTGAAAAACAAAATAAATGAAAACCTATATTCTTAATCACTACAGAGACAGTGTCTCTATAAGATGGTCTCCCGGCCCAAACCAGCCCCACCCACCCCTGCACCTGTCCCCCTTGCTTCTTCATCCTGCAGGACAATCTGTCACCTGAGGGAGCATTTGTGTTAATAAGCACCCTCTGCTCTTGTAGGAGAGTGGTAACATAGAGAACACTCTCCCAAGTTCTAGAATATGACCTTGTTGCCTGACCTTCAGTATCACCACCTCCAGCTAAAACAGTGAAAAATTATAATGGTAGGAAATTGTAGCCCACCTCACCATTCTTTTGACATTGTTTCTATAAATGCTGACTCCAACTAATAAGTAGCTTGTAGATTAACAGCATGTTTGTATAAGAATCCTAGGAACCAGTTTCAAAAGATACAGGCCCCAACCTTCCAGCATCTCAGCTCTGGAAGAGTTGCTGACCTTCAACCACGGAGCCAGGATGACATGAAGTCAGGATGATATAAACCCAGGATGACTAAACGAGGATGAGGCACACTGGACCATCACCTGCCTTATCAGAACGGGCTGTGCGCGTCTGCACGTAGAGATCTCTGCAACCCTCTCCCCTGATCTCTTTGCTCTGTTCCCCTCTCCCTCCTTATAAAAAACCCCTGCCTCCCCTAAGATGTGGAGATTGGCTTTGAGACATGAGTCCCCCATTTCCAGGAGATGGACTTTGAGACATGAATCCCCCATCTTCGAAATGGCTGACATCTGCAAATAAACCACTTTCCTTTACGTCAGCACCTGCCTCTTGAATACTGGCTTTCGCAGAGGCAGGCAGCCGGACCTGCGTTGGGTTATACAACCAATACAGTCTTAACCACATCACCTATCTTCCCTTCAATAAAAGACAGGGTTCTGTTTTCCCAAGGACTGGAGGTGAAATGGTAACTGACCCCTTAGTTGTTCAAGTCCTTCCCAAATAAAGACATCCCCTAACACGGGAACCTGCAGCAGGCCCTGAAGCTCCACGGCGCTGAATTTAATGTCCGTCTCCCTTTGGTGGAATTTCACCTTGTCAGGGGAGGGGCTGAAGCTGCAGACACCAGGAGTAAGGAGACCTCTTCTCAGAAGAAAGGCCAGATGTTGACCATGTTCACACTGTCATCGCCCCTCCCTCCACTATCAGTCTGGAGAATCTCAGCACCTAGCATGAGCACGGGGTGCAAATATGTCCCAGTCTTGGCAGGTCGCCACTGTTCTGCTAATTCACATGCAGCCAGAGAGCCATTTTCCAGAAATCAGTCCCAATCTTGGCCCTCAGCTACTACCCCTCCCTCAGGAGTCAGCTGTCACCTGATAAAGGTCACCCTCCCCTCTTTTTTTCCCTCCCTTCCTTCCGCTTCTCTTTCCTCCCTCCACCCTTTCTCCCCTTTTCTCCACTTCCCACGTAATCTCTGGCCTCCTCCCTTTCTCTGCACTAGCTTCACTATCTCAGCTGAGCTCCTGCCTTCCCCACACATCCCCTACTCTCCCCATCAGCCTGTCTATCCCACCCACAAAGAAATGTGGTGTCCCCCATTCTGAGCTGACACGTGTCAGAGAAAAGCCAGCCCTTCAGACACATGCCTCAGAAACAAGTCTTGGGGAGTGGACGTAATGTCTAAATAGGTCTAGACCACTCAACAAGTAAACTAAGTTTACACTTCAGGGCCCAGCAAAGCAGGGCTGCTAAAACATTCATTTTTTGGTAAATAATTGTATATGTAATGTTTTTTAAAGCATCAAAATAGTTACCGTGGAAAAATTAGAAGTTTCTTGGACTTCCTCATACATTACTTCACAATTTTGTCTCTTTTTTTGAACTCACATATTGCCGGGCTGAGAGGTGTCAGTGTTGAGGGACGCTCAGACCTTCAGACAGGCCTGCAGGGGACTGCGGAAGTGCAGTGGCACCTGGGCAGGTGGCAGGGACGGAAGCTGTAACTGTTACCTTTTCCATGCGTTCGATCAGCCTGTCCAGCTCCCCAATCCTCTGGTCTTTCTCTTCTAGGCTGATCTCTGCCGCCTGCATCTTTTTATTGGCTTCTTCAATCGCTTTCAGAAAGCTATTGGTTTCTTCCTGAAAAAGCAAGACACTGACCTCAGCTAAGCCACGGAGTCCCCAGGCTACCAGCTAGTGTCTTTCTAAATCACGATGACTCTTTAAATGCATGACGCTGGGGCCTAGAAGTCTCACAGATCATGAACTCAACATCCATGATTCTGATTTTCATCTATAAAGACATATCACATGACTTTTTAATAAGCTTTTCTCCCTTGAGTCCTTATGTCTAAAAAGAGCCTGTGAATGTTATTTACCCCTTGACTAAATGCTCAGAATGTCAACGTCTGTGCAACAATGTAAAGGAGATTAAGGCCAGATCTGGAGTTGAACGCAGAATGGCCACATCTTTCTCTCGTATTGCAAAGCACCAATCATTTGGCACATTTATTATGCTTGTAAGGACACAGGTGAGGGCAGACATGGAGTCCGTACATTAAAAAAACTTATGCTGTCCTAGAGAAGCCAAGATGTGAGACACACAGCCCCTCTCTAATCACAGGTGCAGCAGAAAGCCACAGCAAAGAACAGGATGAACATGTGGGCTTTCCAAGGGCAGGGATACTTCTAGCTGTGGGAAGGGAGTGAATGCGCAAACAATAAATTCCTTGACCCCTCACCCAGTAGTTTGTCAACTAACTCACCTCCAAGAAGAAACCCTACTACAGGGGTGGGCAAAGTAGGTTTATTACAGTTGTGAGTACATGAAACAGTTTATTCTTGCATAATTTTTATTAATTATTGTATTATTTTCAGTATGAACAACTGTAAACTTACTTTTGCTCACCCCTTTATTTAAACCTCACTGACAAAAATGAACCAAGAACTCTGTTCTCTCTGCAGCTACGACAGACATACCAGGAGCGCCTCTTTCTCCGCATTGTGCTTCCGCTGCTCCTCGTGCAGCTTCTCCTCATACTGGCTGTACAGCTTCCTGGTCATCTCCCTCATCACCTCAGCGTTGGCTTCGTGGGAGGACTCCACCTGCGGGGAGACTCATTTCAGAGCGATGGCTTTTGCCCGTGCCAGGGCATCAACCCTTGTCACTCTGTGTGTGTCATCATGTGTGGACACACCGAACAGTGGACCCATCGACCCGGGCCCGGCAGTAGACAGGAGGCAGCAGCAACTAACGGCAGGACTGAAGGCAGAAGAGGCGAACAGGTGCATAGAAATGAAAAAGTGGTGCTTTATGCTAATTTACTTGATATTATCAGAAAAAAAGGTTCTGCCTGGGGGAATTTTTCAAAAGATAAGGACTTACCTAAGTATTGAACTGATCCCCCAAATTTAGCCCTTTGTAAATTGAATTCTCTCTAAAATGTGTCCATGCTCCACTGTCTTATTAACCTGTTTCTTCAGTGGCTTTTTCTGTCTATTGTTCTTTTGATGCTGAAATTTGGCTATTTTTTATTCTATCAGTTTTAATAAAACTTTTCTTCTGATAACAGGTCTATACCCTAGTTGGCCCCTAACTAGGCAAAAAAAGATGTTTGTTTTTTTAATCCTTGAGTATTCTGTTACAGGCTGAGAAATAAGATCACTGCATTATTAGAATTGGGTCAGAGTAGAATAAACTATAAAATTAAAAAATAAAATGGTTATCTGTAAGAGGAAGGAGGAAGTAAGAGAGGAAAGGGGACATAACAGATATAAATATTCTATTTCTGAATATATTTTGCTTTATAGTACTGACTTGAAACTAAATAAATAATTTACCTGTTTTAAAAAATTAAACTTCAGAAGGACACCTAACAAGACCATTCAGTGGGAACAAAACAGACTTTTCAACAAATGGTGTAGGGACCACTGAATAGACACATGCAAAAGAATAAAACTAGATCCCTAACATACCATGTACACCATGTATAAAAATGAACTCAAAATGGATCAAAGACTTATATGCAAAAGTTAAAACTATAAACTTTTAGAAAAAAAAACATAAGGTAAATCTTTGTGGCCTTTGATTCAACCATGGTTTCTTGACACCAAAAGCACAAGTGGCAAAAAAAATAAACAAGGAAGCTTGTGTGATCCTGTTAACCAACGTCACCTCAATTTAGACTTCATAGTATTCAATATTAAAGACTTCTGGACTTTGACAAACAAGCACTGGAATTATAGCCATTGAAATGAAATTTCTTAACAAAAACAAAATAAAAACTTCTGTGCTTCACAGAATACCATCAAGAAAGTGATGGAAGAAAACATTTGGGAGAGTGGGAGAAAATAACAGCAAATCACATATTTAATAACTTGTATCCCAAATAATAATTATAACTCAATAATAAAATATAAATAAACCAATTTAAAAATGAACAAAGAATCTGACAGACACTCCAAAGAAGAGATACCAATGACCCATAAGCACAAGAAATGATACTCAACATCACTCATTGTTGGGAAATGCAAACCGACAATGAGAAACCACTTCACACTCACTAGGACAGTTACCATCAAGAAGGTAGTAGTAACATGTTGGCAAGAATGTGGAGAAACATTCACTCTTACACTGCTGGTGGGAATGTAAAATGGTGCAGGTATATCTCTAGGTTATCTTTCCTACTGTTTGATTTTTTTCCCCCTATGTGCATGTATTACTTTTAAACAAATTATGTCAGAAAAGCAGGGAGGCCTTTGAAGAGACGTTGTCCACATGGAGTTGAAGCTGTCCCATTGGTTGCACTAGTCAATCACCGGGGAAGACTAGAGCTCTGATAAGAAACATTCTCACATAGTTTGGGCAACACTAAGCTGGGAGCTCCTCATGGCTTGGGCGGACCCAGTTTAGGAGATGAGAAAAAGTCAGTGCAGTTGTGGGCAGGAAGGGGTTGGGGTAGAGGTGGCCCTGTCTTTGTCTGTGAACTTGCAGGTCTGTGTCCCTTGCTTCCAGCTTCTTGTTGCTGTAGAATGCTGAGCCTCGGTAACCCTGGATAAGGGAGGTGTACTTCAACCTCAACAGGTTACATGATATTTACTTCAAAGAATGCAATGTAGGCCCTGGCCAGCCCCAAGGTTGGAGGTTGGATCCCCGGTCAGGGCACATACAAGAAGCACTTATGTAGGAGTGCATACATAAATGGAACAACAAACTGAAGCTTATCCATCTATCTATCTATCTATCTATCTATCTATCTATCTATCTAATCTATCTCCTCCCTCCCCCCAACAATTTTTTAAAAAGATGCCCTCTATTTCTCCTTTCTTGTCACTAGACACATTTTGATACCCAGAAGCCACAAAATGGAAAATCCTGTACAGAGGTTATCATCAGCTGAGAGAGACCCAGTGCATCCTGCACACCATTTACATTGCCAACACAGACTTCCAGAAAGGGCTCCATCCCTTGAGTCCTGTTTCTTCTGCAACCAGGTCATGCGAAACACTCTTGAGTCCTATAACTTTTTTATTTATTTAGGGGGTAAAGTAAAGCCTTAGCGGGATTTAAAACAGGCAACTAGGGGCTACATTTAGGGGCTTGGTCTCCTTGAAAGGAGCCAGGCTGCCAAACTGCCTAATGATGCACCCGGACACCTGATGCCAACCCTGGAAGAAGCAGGAGTGTCCAGAACAGACACACATAGTAGACATTCAGTATAGCTGAGGCAAAAGTAGGTTTGCAGTTATTTGTATGGAAAGTTAACAAGTAATTAAAACTTTAACAATACTTTAACAGTTAAAAAATAACAATACAAAAATAAACTATTTCGTGTACTCACGACTATAAACCCCCTTTGCCCACCCTGTATTTGTGGGGTGAATGACTGGCTAAAGCACCTGAGCCGAGGAAAAGACTTAAAACAGTAATTTTAGGCTTTTTCAGAAACACACTCCTTTGTCCCTTTTTTTTCAAAGTAACTCTCACTCAGAAATATGTGAAATGATAAGAAGAGGAGGAGCTGTGTTTGAAGCTGAAGCAAAGGAGAGCTGAATGCTCTAGAGCTCTCTGTCCCTCCCCAGGGGAGTTGTGCCTGGAAAGTGGCCTGTGATGAACAACCCCACGGGTGGCCATCACAGGGACCAGCAGTGCAGTGGGGCGGCCCCTCCTCCCCATCCGAGGCAGCCTGCGGAGAGGGACCCACACGTCCCAGTCTGTCCCCCTCACTACATTCTTAATAGCACCACCATTCAATCCCAAATGTAGTCTGGTTTGAGCAACAAGTTATCCGGATACACTACCCATAAGGCCCGCTCCTCTAGGGTAGCCTGAGGCTGAGTTGGTTACGATCTGAAAACCGCAGACTTAAATAAAGATGAATTCATTCAGAAAATAAACTGTTGAATGCCTTCTGTTTGACCTTCCTGGGCCTGCCCCTGATGTGGGGTAGAAAATCTACCCCCACTTCCATTTGGAAGGGCATCAGAAGCACCACAGTGGAATAAGCACAGCCTGGTGGGCAAGATGGACGCTGCGCAGAGTCCTTGGTCCCCCATCGATTGTCTTTGTGCGTGCCCTTCAGCTCTTTATTGTCAAACCACACAGGACGTGGGCCTCAGAGAAAATCTGAACAGTGAAGATGCTGAAGTCCCAGGCCTGCGGGCATCCCCGTGCCTCCCAGCACGTAACAGCAGTGCCATGGTGCCTGTCTCAGCAGCCCCTGAGGCCTGGGGCCAAGGCAGGAGTGCCCAGTGCGGGGTTTTACGGGGCGCCCCCAATCTGCACTGACAGTTGCGAGCACAGCAGCCTCCTCAGTGCCTTCAAGCCGCGCCCTGTGGGCCTGGCCACAGACGGGTGAGAGATTCAACAAATAAGAAAACGGAGAAAAGGAAATGGAAGAGGTGAAGATGGGAGGAGAGGGAGGAGAAGGGAAAAAGGGAAAGGTTAGGAGGAAGCTTCTTCCCCCAACCCCTGACCCCCAGATTTCACCTTCATTTTCAGCAACTGGTTTTCCACTTGCGCTGCCTCTAACTGCCTCTGCTTTTCCCGCAGCTTGTCCATGGACGCTTCGTACGTCTGCTGCAGATTTCTGATTTGATCCTTAATGCTGCTGTTTTCCAAAGTAACATCCACAAGAGTTTTCTAATGGGGTGAAAATAAAAACAAAAGCATATCTCACGGTGTGAGGAAACACGACCCGAGTCACACAGGCTCTGAGACATCTTTGCCATTAACCACTGCGACAGAGGTCAGGCCATCGGAGACGCAAACCTGCTGTCTGAAGGGCTGCGGGCCCCATGGGGGTGAAGCGGTCTGCCGCCCGCAGGCAGACGGGCCAGGAGCCTCCCGCTTCGCACTCGACAGCTTCGCACTCGACAGCTTCGCACTCGACAGCTGAGGCCAACGCCACGGCTTGGGATGAATGGAAATGGAATAAAATGGAGGCTTTCCAAGGAAAAGGGTTCCTAACACATCATTTCACATGGGAAAAAATTGAGTTTGAAAAATAGTAAATACAGAACAAACCCATTTTAAAAAATGTATAAGCATTTGTTCAAATGTATTTATACAGAAAAACTTTTTAAAAGACTAGAAGAAATTCGCCAAAATCTAAATAATGATTTTCCCTATGGGGTAGGATTATAGATGACATTTATTTTCCTCTTTGTATTTTCTTTATTTTCCAAATTCACACAGAGAATTCAGAAATCAGAAACCAAAGCACATGTTTTGTAGCATAGAGATGTTTTCCTTTCTGGGCTTCTAGTCGGCTTGTGAGGACAGAAACAACATGGCGGAGGCTACCGTAAAGCCTGCAAATGCTTCCCCTTCCTTCCCGGGGCAGAGAAGGGCGGTGATGAAGAAGTACCAGGGAACAGAGTGTGGTGGCTCAGACAAGTGCCTGACAAGTGTCAAAAGCCAGTTGATTATAGTCCCAGTCACCCACTGGAGCAAGAATGTTTAAATGAATAGTGTTGCTATTTATGCTTCAGGCTCTACTTGGTTAACTCTCCTCACAGAGAAATGGCTTCCGACCCAGAATCCCTACCACTGGGCTCTGGGTTCTGGGCACTTTCTGCCACCGCCCCCAGTCATCTACAATTTTAAATCAGGAGATTTGGAAACTCTGGTGTTGGACACTCTTTCTAACACCTTTGTCCTCCTTGTAGAGGATCAGTGTCCAAAGCTCCCTCCCCCAAATCTTTAGCCTCTACTTTGGATAAAAAGCCTCATTCCTAAACATCCTTGAATCAGAGAAAGAATTTTCAAAGGTAATAAATAGAGAAGCCATTTGGAAGCATGGAATCACTGAGCAGTGACGCTGCAAGAGGCTACAGAAACCACGTGGCCCAACCACCCCCTCCCCAAACCCCGCTGGCTTTGCCGATACTACTCTGTGCTCACAGACCTACCTCTGGCCCAAGAGACCACAGTTCTAGTCCTGGCTCTGCCACCAGGTAGATACCCTGTTAAAGTCATTTCCCTCTTCTGGCCTCAGTCTGTGTATCCGTAAAATAAGGGGGTTGGAGATACCCCTTTCTAGCTCTGATGTTCTATGAAATCAAACCAAGGACCTGGTCTCATTGTACATTATAATGAAAATGGGGTAGGATGGACAGTGGAAGATGTTGGGGCCTTGCAGATGTAAGAAGCCAACTATCTTCAGACTCCACTGAGTTTCCTGGCTGTGAGATGGTACCATTCTTTTCAACCTTTTTTTCTTCCTTTCCTTCTCCTTCTCCTTCTTCTTCTTCTTCTTCCACCCCTTCCTCCAGTTCTTCTCCTTTTTAACAACGGTTTTTAATCTTTTCCTTATAAGATTCCTCTGTCTGCCTGGGACTAAGAGGCTGGACCATAACTAGGAATCAGTCAGGGTGCCTGGTGATGGCTGAGCCTGTCCTGACAGCTGACCTCTGAGGCAGATGCCCTGAGTGTCGGTAGCATCGCCAATCAAAAGTATCATGGGAAAGAAAACCAGGAACAGGACAGATCCCAACCAGGTGTGAGCTCAGGGGAGGTACAGCATTTCCTAGATGGCCAGGAGTGAGAAGATGTCCAAGAGAAAGGAAAGGGAGCCCTGGTGAGACCCTCTGATGGCAGGAGTCAGGGAAAACAAAGGCCACTGAATAGAGCTTGGCCTGCAGCCAGGGGACAACTGGCATGCACCATGGAAAGCCAGGAAAGGGTGGGACAGAGAGGTCCCACCAGAAATGGGCCTCCCAGACAAATCCAAACAAGGGGCCCACCCAGGCCCTCCGTGGGCCTAGCTTTGTTTGTGGCCCTGCTGCCCCAACAGTTGATATTAGAGAACACTAGCTTCTAGGGGAAGTAGATAACCCTAACATGAAAATTTGTTTGCTTATCTGATAAATTATTTATATAAAACCAGAGAGGATATGAAATAGCTTATGGAACTTTTAAGAGAAGGGTAAAAAGATAAGAGTCAAATAAAGTTGGAGGCAGGGCAGAAGCTATTGTTTGCATATTTGGAAGCTAAAGCCAAGGGGCCAAGGGACACTGTTTCAGATGAATATAAACTTTGTCTTGGTGATTTTCAAGTTAATTTGCATGTTAAGTGGGGGAGGGTTCAGCTGGAAGAATAGCAGTGGGCAACATGAGAGATAAACTCCCGACAAATCAAATTAATCAAGACTGCAAGCCCCTCCAAGGTGGTGGTCAACATACATCTGCACAAATGTAAGATCCTGAAGCTTTCTGCCTCCCTGTCTGGTACTGTAAGAAATCCTTTAAAATGTTCATGATTTCTTTTAATGCAAAATAATTTCTAAATTTGGAAAAAGAGCTTGACAGGGAGTTACGTGCCGCGGATGAATACAGATTGCCTTCTGTTCGGTCTGTCTTTTCCATGATTGGGTGGAGCTTCTTGGAAACTAGGGCTGCAAGAGGGTGGGAGCTGATGTATTGTTTTAGACACTGACCCTTTAGACCACTTCGGTATCTAGCGGAGCAAGAAACGCTCCATCACAGAACTCAGGACCTGAACCCCTGTTTTAATAAGGGTAAAACAACTGCAACACAAAGGTTTAGAGTGCCAGCTTGGAAGCGCTTCCTTCAGCTTCCTCCATCGCCTTCCTCGCACGGCCTTCGCTGCAGCCATGCTTAACGGCTTCTGAGTGATGAGCTGAGGACATTCTGTGACTTGCGTTTCTACAACAGCACGGGGCCCACTCTCGGTTACACTTGTTTGCACTACAAAAGAGGGCGCCCCACCTCACAGTGAGCAGAGGCGTACCTGCAGGTCAATGGAGTCTGACGCCAAAGCCGCGTTCATGGCATTAAAGCTGTCCAGGGCCGACGACTGCGTTTGGATGTGATTTTCTAGATAGTCCTTCTGAGCCTGTGAAACCTGGGCAGATTGAAGAGACAGTTACACAAAACCGACCCACACACACCTACAACAATCTTTGTTTAGTCTGGAACTGTCTCCTGATAGTGGCCACGTCAACTTCAATATTTCATGTGCAGCTTTAGATTTAAAAAGTCGACATCTGCATGAGCCAGAGATCAGAAAGAAAAGAATACTTTTGCTTTAGATAGTTTTTACACATTCACCTGCTGTGCCTCGGTCCTCACAACAACACCTAGCAGCCGCCAGACACTGCCCTTTACAGGGAGGAAACAGAATCGGAGAATTTAAAGGATCTGCCCACAAAGAGCTAAGAAGTGGGACCGCCGAAACCCGAACGCAGATGTAATATCTTCCCGTGCCCTCCTGTTCTTTCTACCCACCATAGAAAGAATATACTTTGGGCTCACCCAATTCTCAAGAGTTGTTTTATGGCTGCTGCTGTGGTCGTGTTGTCTTTGTTGGGTGTGTGCATGTGACATGTCTGATGGAGTTCATCAGAGGCCAGTCTTGAGCTAGACCTTAAAGGAGGGCTGGGTATAGAGAAGCGGGCAAGTAGCAGAGCTAGGGGAAAGGTTCTGGGAAGGCTTGGGGCTACACCCCTGTGAGAGCCACAGACAGCAGCCAGGCACCATGCAGAAGGAGGTGCACCCCAGGGATGGGAGAGAGAGTGGAAACGGCAGGCCAGGACCCAGAGCAGGTGGCATGTGCTTGTTCAGGGGTGTGTTCATAGAGCAGTAATTTAGCAATCGGTCTGCCTGAAGTATGTGATGTGGCCTAGAGGAGGAGGAGACTACAGGCAGAGAGACAAGCTCCTGTGATAGTTCTAGCATGAGAAAACAAGGGTGTGCAAAGACTTGTTTATGCATCTCTTGCAAATTCAATCCTATGACATTAATTAAAGTTGTTAGTGTCTGTCAGTGGACAGAGTGAATTTCCATAAGTAGGTGAGAATTTCACAAATCTCTTCCTACATGCCAGGGAGAATGGGCTGGGTGGATATGTTTTTAAACCCCTGCCCCTATAATCAAGGCAATAGGTCTTACTTAAGCAGATACTCTCACGGCCAAGCCTTGAAGTAAGTCAAATGCATGGCTGATGGAACTGTGCTTCTGACCTGCAATTATTAACCCTTACGGAAAGTATGTCATATATACATGAACTTTTTTCCTTCAAGATTATTAATCACAAATTTTTTTAAAAATTTTTTTCTCACAAATATTAGCTTGGTTAAACCGGAGGAAGGTTGTCTTTCTAAAAATATTTGAGTAGGTGATACAATCACATAGTTCAAATATTTTAAAAGGTATACACTAAAATAAATCTCTCTGTCCCACTTACCACCTTCCCCACTCCAGTCCTCAATTAAGAATCACTGTTGAGCCCTCGCCAGATAGCTCAGTTGGTTAGTGCATCGTCCTGATACACCAAGGTTATTGATTTGATTACTGGTGAGGGCATATACAAGAATCAACCAATGAATGCATAAATAAGTGCAACAATAAATTGATGTTTCTCTCCCTCTCTCTTCCCCTTCCTCTCTCTATATAAAATCAATTTTTTTTTAAAAAAAAGAATCTGTTAATTACTTTCTTCAGTATCCTTTTAGCAATTTTTTGTGCACACACAAAACAATCTACATACATTTCATTTTCCCCTTCTGTTTTATATATGTGGTAGCACATTATATTTTCTTGCATCTTGCCTTTTCACCACCTAATCTATAATCTTTGCAGTCTTTCCGTACCTTCTTTTGAAGAGCTTATTCTTTTTATTCCATTTTTACAAGTCTATTTTTTACAATTCTATTGTAGAGATATAATTTCTTTTACTTTCCCCTTCTTAATGGACACGTAAGTTTCCAATAATGTTACTATTACAAACAATGCTGTAATAACCAAGTTCATACATATGTCATTACACATGTGTGTGAGTTTATCCATACAATAAATTCTTAGAAATAGATTTGCTGAGTCAGAGGATATAGGCATCTATAATTTTCATAGAAAGTGGCAAATTGCTGTACCTAAGAGAAATGTAAAATTACACCCTACCCAGCAAGCTGCCTATTTCTCCACAGCACTACTATTATAGTGTCTTGTCCCGCTCTTGCAGTTTTTCTAATCTACTAGATAAAAATTACATCTCAGCATGGTTTAATCTGAATTTCTCATGGAGAGTGAGGCAGAACATCTTGTCATACAGCTAAGAGCCCTTCATCTTTCCTTTACTATCAATTATCAGTAACAAATATTTCATCTATTTTTATGACTTGTTGCCCTTTCTTTTTTTGATTTGTAAGTGCTCTTTAAATACTTGGAAAATCAGCCTATTATTTATATGAAGGGTAAATAACTTTCTCCAGTTTATCATTTGACTTGGACTTGGCTGTTTCTGACAGCACAAGTTTTTCATCTTAATGTTGTAACAGTTTTTAACCTTTTCTTTTTTGGTATTGTACTGCATGTCATAATTTTTTTTTTTTAAAATGGGGGGTTTCTCCACTCCAAGAGTACAAAACAATTCACATATATTTTCTTCTGGCACTTGTAAGTTTCACTTTTTAACACTGACGAATTTGGAATTTGTTCATATAGAACTCTGTCCCAACAGCAAACACTGACTGGTTCATTTTTCTCCCTTTATATGAGATGCTACACTTGTCACACATTGGGGTACATTTCTGGATTTTTTCATTGACGTCTATTTATTTATGTGCCAATACTACACTGTTTTAATCTCTGAGGCTTTTTGACTTTCTTCTTATAGTAATAGGACTAATTTCCCTCATTGTTTCCCCCCCCCCCCCAGAATTTCCCCAATTCTTCATATTTATTTTCTGTATCCTTTGAATTCACCTAGTCCAGTTGTATAAAAAGAGCATAAAATAAAACTCTGTTGGTATTTTGGGATTATGTTAAATTTGTATATTAGCTTGACAGTATTGACATCTTATGATGTTCAATATTATGTCTTTTCACTTGCTACAGTTTACTCCTAGATATTTGGTAGGTTTTTGTTGTTGCTGTTATTTCTTCTAAATAATTGGTTGTTATACAATGAAGCCTCTTTGTCTGTATCTATTAATTTTTTACCCTGCAACTTTATAGAACTACTTCATTGTTTATAGTAGGGGTTTTTTTTTTTCATTGCATCACTTGGGCTTTCTGGTATATAACTACAATAGTTTATAAATAGTAACAGTTTTACATCTACCTGTCCAGTTTTTATACCTCTATATTTATTCCCCTTGTTTAATTCCATTGGCTTTTTTTATACCCTCAGACACAATGTTAAATGATAATGGTGACAGATGGCTTCCTTGTCTTATTCCTGACTTGGGGGGGAAGGCTTGGATATAAGGAAGAGTATTCTTGCTACAGAAAAAAATCCTTTCAATGATAAATTTTATTCTGTAATAAAATGCCCTCAGTTCATTTAAAATGTGATTCCATTAATAAAGAACACTGTAAACTCAATATGTTCTGAATCTAGCCACTGAGAGGGAGGTCCGAGCACTGTCATCCCTCGTGTTTCCAGGTCGCTGAGACACGGACTTACTGACAGTTCCTGGGTGATCTGTCGAATCTTCTGTCTCATGTCATCATAGTCTCCGTACATTCGCTTCCTTACTTTTTCCAAGGTGGCTCTCACCTGCAGCCCACAAAGATACTAGTTAGATATCAAGCTATAACATTTTCCTGAGAGACTTCCAAATCTTTTAAGAAACCCTAATATGAAAAGGGCTCTACACACACACACACACACACACACACACACAAATCTTAAGAACAGATAATTTGGGAAATGAAGGAATAAGATCACTCCTGATACATAATTAGAAACCAAGGGAATTACATTTTTAATAATAATAAACATTATTTTACATAAATATAGTTAATAAATATTAATTATCCAAATAATAAACTCTGAAGAAAAAAAGCTCTGTTGAAATTCACCCATCACCTTCAAGCCACAATTCAGGCAAAGTTTGCCCCTTTTCCTATCACACATTTTTTACAAGTAGAAAAATTTTAACAGGTTGATGGCAAACACATGGATAAGAGGACCAAAAAGCAAAAGCAGCCTCTAATATTCCTTATCTCTGCCCTCACTGCCAAAAAGCAAATAAATGTCTGGAATGTAATGCAGGAAAGTATGAGCCCTGGAGAGCCCATAATTTGGAAGTCAGTTCCTCAATAATGACCTCAATAATACCACACGAGGCACTAAATATAACCGCAGCCAAGGTGATCTCCAAAACACCTGTTCACAAAAACACTATTCAAGATTCTCTCCAATGGCCCTTACAAACAATCCCTGTCTCCTCCCTTCTTCTGGTGCCCATAGGATGGACAAAGTGCTCAGGGACCTTCAGATAGAACAGGAAGTCTCACCCCAACTGGTGTGGCCCAGTTCGTTGGGAATTGTCCCGCAAAGCAAAAGGTCACCTGGTCAATTCCTGGTCAGGGCACATGACTGGGTTGTGGGTTCAGTCCCCAGTTGGAATATATGCCACCGATCAATGTTTCCCTCACATTGATGCTTCTCTCTCTCTCTTTCTCCCTCCCTTCCCTTCTCTCTAAATATAAGTAAGTGAGATCTTTAAAAAAGAGAGAGAAGAGAATAGGGAGTCTCAGGAACTTCTGCTAAACCACAGCAGTTTGGTTAGAATGACCACAAGCATGTAGGGACAGCATGGGGTGGTGGGGAGGGGGGACTTAATCTTGAAGCTGCATTTGCAGAATAGCATGTTTTAAAATTAGACTGTATGTGTATTAGGGGTGACTAGATATTGGTGGAGATTTGGGAGGGCAGTTAAGATGCCAGGCCTTCCCCAGTTGAATTCTAATAATAGAATACTTTCAACACAATAGAAAGAGACTCATAGACACAGAGAACAGGCTGACTGACCATTGTCAGAACAGGTTTGGGACTGGGTGAAAAAGGGGAAGGAATTAAACAGCACAAATTGATAGTTATAGAAGAGTCACAGAGATGTATGTTATAGCATGGGGAATACAGTCAATAATACCATGATAGCTATGTATGGGGCCAGGTGGGTACCTGGAGCAAAAGGACCACTCAGTAAAGTATATAATTTTCTAACCACTTTGCTGTACATCTGAAACTAATACAGGATAATATTGAATGTAAACTGTAATTGAAAAATAAAAAGTAATAATAGTCTACTTTCTTGCCATTAACTACAAACATTCTGGGAAAACAAGGCCAACATCACCACTTTTTACCGGGGGCAGGCAGGATGCCTTTCCTCGTGGCCCAGAGTTGGCTCTCATGCTGCTCACCAGTGGGGAGTGGGCGTGATCTTGAGCTGCTGGCAAAAAGGAAGCCCGCTGGACCAGAATCACTCACAGCGGGAGAGAACAAACAATCCCATAAACACACAGGAATGAGCAGGCCAGGAATGGATTTGAAGCCAGCTATAAGAGGGGGACCTCGAAACTAATTTTAAGTTGCAGAGCACAATGGAGGTTGGCGATTCTGGTCAGAACCACTCCTGTGAGCTGGGCTCACATCATCCGGGTTCTCAACCAGTCTAAACCTGCTGCCGTGGTTTTGAGTGATTTGTAACTCTCCACTCTGCTTAGAGGGTTTACCTCTGAAGCAGTGCCATGTTATCTGGGGCATTTAAATGAAGGTCTAAGTAGTTCCATGAGAAAAACACAGAAGACTAAAAATGTCCAAGCTGCTCCTATACAGGAAAAATAAGAATGAGATACTCTGAAGGTTAAAAATTTCTATTCAGGGAGTTGGATGACTGGGGATTCAAGGCAAGTGATTGTCACACATGTCCTGTTGATTTGTATAAGTGCGTAGCTTTTCTGAACTTTCTTTATTTTCTCTGTTAAGCATGTATTATTATTACTTTTAATCAAAACAAGATTTTTTATTTCCTGTAATTATACAAGTATCCAAAACCTTCATGAATCATTAAAGAAGATACCCAAATTATTATTTTTGATATTCAATAAATGTGTTTTTAAAAAAATGCATAAAAGCCAACAACATGACTTTGAGTTTTATCCACAAACCCCCCAATAAAATGGGGTATACAGAGCTGGAGATTTTGAACTTAGGGGTCCCTTCCCAGCCCCATGGCCTATGTATGAGAACACTGAAGTCTAGAGAAGACAGAAGTTTGGCTGGGCCTGTCTGAGAGCTGGACCTTGAACCAAGGTCCATGAGGTACTCCATGGCCCCACAATGCCTCTGCTATTCGTGGACACCTCTAGTCCACAGATCAGGGTTTAGGGACCATCAATGTTAGAGCAGTGCATTTTCTGTCTAAGTAATCACTCTGGCTTGGTCAACAGAGGCACTGGTCAATCTACAGAGACCAAAAAACCCGAAAAGAAATGGAGATGTATGATGGATTGATGGATAGACAGATAGATAGATAGATAGACAGATGGATAGATAGATAGACAGAAAACATTTAGAAGGAAATGCTCCAAGATGCTAACAACTACTCAGGTTGAATGGTGGAATTATGGGTGATTTTGTTTTCTTTTTATTATACTTTTGTATTTTCTAAATTTTCTCAAGCCCCTCCCCATGATTAAAAAAGATTAAAAATGTAATATTAAATACAAGGAAATGGCATTGACTGGTCTGGGTTTAACAGTGTCTATTGTGGTTGACTTCTCAGCCTCTGCTGCAACCCAACTGATTGGTCTTAATCAGACTGTCTTAACCATCCCCCTCACCAGTGATGGACTTGGGAATGGGCATGCAACTCAGTCCTGGCCAATGAGACACAAGGAGAAACCTAGTAGAGGGCCTTTATAAAGTAACTAGAGATGAGTGGCTTCTTTTCTTCCTCTAGACACTGTCGTGTTTTCAGATGACACTATGAGCCTGAGGATGAAGAAGGAAAGAACCAAGGGAAATGCACAGAAACAGACAGGAGCCTGGACGTGCCATGCCTGGAGCCGACCTGCACCTGGACTTATCCCCACATGAGACAAATTTTTGTTTCTGAGTTGGCTTTTCTGTTGCCTGCATCCAAAAGCATTCAAATTTATACAGTTGTCCAAAGTCATGCATTAGGAGTGTCCACTATAATAAGCAAAACCACTTAAGAGCCACTGTATCATATACTAAAGAAAGTCATTGGTCTCATGAGTAGCCCTATTCAGTACCACCCAGAAGCTTACTCTATACTTCACTGCAGAATTACACTTGTATTCTAAACAAGACCATAAAGATATGTAGAAATATTTCCATCCAAAATGGTAATGTTAAGAATTCTTCCAAAATGCCTTACTATATTCACATCAATGCTTCCAGCTCCACCCTCTTATAAGCTAGAAACAAACAAAAGAAATTCTCAAATGACTCACATCTCTGATGTAGTTCATCTCTTCTTTCAGCTGATTGGTGGACCACCCATACACCACCATTTCCTTCTGCTGATTTTGATCTGATCTTCGTACCACGCCATAGACAACACCCTGAGGAAGTTTCCTGGTTGGCTCCCCATTGCCTGGGCCAGGATGCTAGAAGAAAGTAGGAAAAGAGAAACAGTGACTCCTTAGACCATGCAAAAACAACTGTAATGAAAGGTCACTGTACCTGGTTATACAGGCTGTGCCCAGCACTGGGGTGCTTGGCAGGCGGCAGGCAAAGGCCAGCAGACATCCAGTCTCTGCTCACCAAGTGCGTCTGGCATAGGCAGAGCCTGCCTTTACCCTGGAGGACGAGTACCTCTCACTGATTTCTACCAAGGCCCTGCCTACCCACCTAGAAGTGCATCTGCAGGGCCCCATCTTCCCAAAGGGTACAACTTTTTCTATTTCTCACAAAAGGGCCAGCTAGACGTGTGTTGTCCCCAATAATAAGAGCAAGTGTCTGAATCCTAACATTGTTAGTAATGGCATTTTTCTCCTTGTACCAGTTCCTCTGTATGTCTTCAACCTCCTCACTAAATATGTGGCCTGAAAGGCATGAGATTGAGACACTTAAGGGGAAATGTTGGCTGCCACTTGACAGCCAAACTGTCCTTTCAGGTTGGGATTGAACCTGGAGCTAGCTCTGAGAAAAGGACATGGGGTGAGTACCCAACCTGTTATGACTACTCATGAAATATTGCTGAAAAACCAGGCAGAGGGGCATGACTTCACTGCAAAACAATCTCCCTATTTCTTAATGTCTTCAGTTAAAACTTTGATCAGTTTTGGAGGGCAGTTACTCTTGTGAAGAGGTAACATGTCCAAGTCTTAACACATTTTTCTCAAATGAAGGCTCACGAAGCAGAACAAAAAGAAATTAAGACCTATTGAGCACATACTATAAGCTAGAAATGTTCCTAGCACATTTAATCTTCACAGCCACTCTGTGACTTAGTGATTGTCCTCTCTCCTTCATAACTAAGGAAACTAAAGTTCAGAGAAGTAACTTGACAACAACAGTCACACATCTAGATTCAAGCCCAGTTCTGCCTGCATTAAGTCCACCTCCCCACACTGCAGGCTTTGTTATTTGTAGGGGCACAGAGTTAGGGGCCTCTACAACCTCGAAAGGAAGGGGCAAGAAAAAAATCAAGACCAGGGACTGAGACTCCATAGACAAACTGGCTGATCTCCAATGTTCCCTGGGGGCTGACCCTGGTACTTTAACAATCACTGTACACAAGCCTGGATTCCATAATGGCCACTCTGTTTCCCACTAATTTTTAAATCAGTTTTACATCAATTCTTCCCATGCACTCACAAAATATTTTGACATATAAAACTGAAATTTGTATTTTAAAATCATTCATTTGTGGAAAAATAATGAATACCTTATGATCCCATTCATTCAATGTTTAGAAAAGTTTAGAAAAATAAATGACAAATTATGAATAGTGATGACATCAAAAAGAGAGCAGCAGGGAGGGGCAGGGGTGCTAGAGATCAGGATACCTGTCAATTTTTTCTTTATATCCTTCTGTACTATTTGCTTAAATGTGAGCTTTTATAAATAGTAAGAAAACAGAACATTCATTGCTTCCCACCCTTCTCCACATACTTGGGGAGCAAGGGGATATAAGGAACTGTTACACTCTACATTTGATTCTGGAAAATGCTTCCACTTGAGTCTCTCACACTTGAGTCCCACAGACACTGACGGAACTCTTGAAATTTGTACATCAAGTTGAGGTGAATGGTCTGTTGAATGGGTGTTGGTGGAGTGAATGACAAGCTGGCATTAGATATCCCTGCTTTACTAGGCATGTAATTAGGAAGGAGAAACTCCCCCTGTACCAGGAAACAAAAGCACACTCTTTCGGTCTCGGACTCCACCTGGTTCCTGCCAAACAAGCTGATGACGACCTAAAGCTTTGGTCAAATGTGTTTCTGCAAAGCACAGGCTTTCACAGGGGGGTTGGCTGCCAGGAAAATGCACAGAGGCCGGACACAGAAGACTCTGCCCCTTGCCCGCGAGGGGAGATAAGGGCCACCAGCCATGGGGGGAAAACACAAACAACACCAAGCACCACAGGGTCTGTGAAACATTGCCCAGAGGGGCAGATCTAAAAGTTATGCACACGGAAAGATGGCGAAGATCCATTAAGTAAAAATAGCAATTTTCATATTCCATTTTTTTGTTTTAAAAATGTGTGTGTATTAAACATCTAGAAAGATGGAATCTAAACTTTTAATGACAGTTTCCTCAGTAAAATTGGATTTCATTTTTTCCTTTTGTACTCTGTTATGCACTTTGATTTGGGGGCCAAAAAGACGTTATTTTTGAATTAACAATTTTTATTTCAATTTCCAAAGAACTAAAACTATTACAAAACCAGGGTCTAAAAATTATTACAAAATCAGGGTTACAAAATAATTTTTTTTGTTTTTTATTTTTTTCTTTCAACTCTACACTTAAGAGTGGGCTCCCATACATAGATCCATTGGTTACTTAATTTCCTGACAAATTGCTCTCCAGCATGGCTATACAGCTTTAACCTCCCTGCTACAATGCTCAAAGTTTCAGCTTCCTCACATCTCCTGAGCACTTGATATTTCTTTTATTATTTTATTTTTATTTTTAATATATATTTTGATTATGCTATTACAGTTGTCCCATTTTTCTTCTCCTCTTTATTCCCCTCCACCCTCACCATCCCACCTCCCAGCATTCCCCCCCTCCCCCACCTTAGTTCATGTCCATGGGTCGTACGTTTAAGCTCTTTGGCTTCTCCATTTCCTATACTGTTCTTAACTTCCCTCCGCCTTTCTTGTACCTACTATTTATGCTGCTTATTCCCTGTACCTTTTCCCCCATTTTCCCCCTCCCACTTCCTTCTGATGTCCATTTCTATGATTCTGTTCCTGTTCTAGTTGTTTGCTTAGTTTGCTTTGTTTTTGTTTCTGTTTTTGTTTTTTTAGGTTCAGCTGTTGGTAGTTGTGTGTTTGTTGTCATTTTACTGTTCATAGTTTTTGATCTTTTTCTTCAATAAGTCCCTTTAACATTTCATATAATAAGGACTTGGTAACATGAACTCCTTTAACTTGACCTTATCTGGGAAGCACTTTATCTGCCCTTCCATTCTAAATGATAGCTTTGCTGGATAGAGTCATCTTGGCTGTAGGTCCTTGTCTTTCATGACTTTGATTACTTCTTGCCAGCCCCTTTTTGTCTGCAAGTTCTCTTTTGAGAAATCAGCTGATAGTCTTAGGGGAACTCCTTTGTAGGTTAACTGTCTCCTTTTCTCTTGCTGTTTTGAAGATTCTCTCCTTATCTTTAAACTTGGGTAATGTAATTGTGATGTGCTTTGGTGTGTGCTTCCTTGGGTACAACTTCTTTGGGTCTCTCTGAGCTTCCTGGATCTCCTGGAAGTCTGTTTCCTTGGCCAGATAGGGGAAGTTCTCCATTATTTTTTCAGATAAGTTTTCAATTTCTTGCTCTTCCCCTTCTCCTTCTGGAACCCCTATGATTCAGATGTTGGAACATTTAAAGTTGCCCCAGAGATTCCTAAGCCTCTCCTAATTTTCTTGAATTCTTGTTTCTTCATTCTGTTCTGGTTGAATGTTTATCTCTTCCTTCTGCTCCCAGTCATTGATTTGAGTCCCGATTTCCTTCCCTTTACTGTTGGTTCCCTGTATATTTTTCTTCATTTCACTTTGCATAGCCTTCACTTTTCCCTCCATTTTGTGACCATACTCAACCAATTCAGTGAGCATCCAGATTACCAGTGTTTTGAATGGTGCATCTGATAGGTTGGCTATCTGTTCATTGCTTAGTTCTATTTTTGGAGCTTTGATTTGTTCTTTCATTTGGGCCATATTTCTTTGTCTCAGCACACATGTCATTTTGGGAGGGGCAGAGCCTTAGGTGTTCACCAGGGCAGGGCAACCCAGGTCACTGTGTTGTGACATTGTCTGTGGTGGAGGGGTACGAGAGGGAACAATGCCGCTTGTTCGGCTCTCAGCTGGCTTTCAGTCACTTCCCCCTGCTACCCACAAGCAAATTGGGCCCTTCTGGTGCTGATTCCGGGAGGCCGGGTTTGTGTGGGTCTCTCCAACAGACACTCCTGTGAGGCTGGGAGTTTCTTCTGCCTCCACAAACCCCACAAGACTTTATCTCCAGAGGTTTTGAGGCTTTCTTTTCCTGCACTGGAACCCTGGATTGCATGGTCTGTCTCACTCCCCAGCGGTTCCTCACAGTTTATCCACATGCAAATATGGGGCCACCCGGTCTGCCAGCCGCCGCCTTGCCATGCACCCTCTCTGCCCCAGCTGCCCATCTCCACCCTTCCTACCAGTCTGGATGAATATTTCTTCTTGGTTGTTGGACTTCCATAGTTTGATTTTCTGGCAGTTCTGGTTATTTTTTGTTTTTAAATTTGTTGTTGTCTTTCCTTTGGTTGTGCAAGGAGGCAAAGTGTATCTACCTTTGCCTCCATCTTGACCAGAAGTCTCCAAAATCAGGGTCTAAAAGGAAGATCCACAGGGACAGGCCCAGCACAGAACCTGCTCAGGATGAGGGCCACCAACAGGGGCCACTCCACAAGGAAGGATTCCTGAGGCAGCGTGAGGAGCTGTGGGGCTGTGACAGGGAAAAGGAAGGAATATTTATGGGGAAAGGGAAGGGGAAAAATATTTGTTGTCTAGCCATTTTATTATATAATTTTTTTTAACCCTCACAATAACCCTACTGTGTAACTATTATTGGTTCTTCCAAAGTGGCAGCATTCAAGTGCCTGCCTGTGTGTTACCAAATGTAAGCTCTTCCTTTGACTGTAATCCCTTCAAAATAGCCAAGAGTCAGGAGAGGATCTGGAACTCACGTGTCCACATGGCAGACCAGACTTCAGGGTACTGGCCATTGGGAAGAGGTGGGCCCAGGATGGAGAGGCTCTCCTCCAGCCTCCCATGATCCAGCTCCCCCTCAGCCCCCACCCGGTTCCAGCCTCACTGCCTCCTTTCAGTACCTTTATCAGCCAACTTCCTTCTTGCCTCTGGGCACTTATACAGGCTATTCACCTGGCTTCGGTGGTCCTTCAGCCTGCTTGGGT